TCTTGTCGGCTACGGCAGGATTGTCGTCCGAACCCACACACTTGCAATCATCGTCGTCGTCGCTTTCGGCAGGGTTTTGTGTATCGCTGACATCAAAGATATCAATATCTTGCTCGTCATCGTCGTCCTTTCCTCCTCCTAAATCCAACGGTTTGCAGTACAGCATCGCTGCCAAACCGACAGATTTCTTCGGCGTGGAAGGGACAGCAGAAAGACAGAGACGCTCCTGACCTGCGTTGTACCCGTAGCGCCCACTTCGAGATGAACTGCGGTTGCGGGATCGAGCAGTTCCGCATCCCAAACTTCCAGCGCTTCTCGCTCCGACCGAACCATCGTCCCTAGTTTGGCGTCTACCGCGACCATCGGATACGGAATTTTCCGATGCAAAGTGGGCACCCAGAGTTGGAAGCCCTCCCCTTGCCTTTTTGGGATCCTCTTCTTCATCGTCAAGGTTGTCATAGCCCCCAAAAACAAGAAAGACTACTGGAAGGCCAAGCTTGCCGGGAAAGCATAAAATTTTAACAACATAAAATATCATCAGTTAGAATTTACATTTACAAAGTTGGCAGAAGTAGCCGTCTTCTGGTGATCGAAGCAGCGGCATGAATCGCACGGCTAGTTAGGTGCACATCGCTTTGAAACGGCCAGTTCTGGCTGCCTCAATACAGGTCACTGCTCTCTAAATAGTTGTGTTAGACAAGGATCACCCTGCTGATTATGTTGCGTAGGCCGGCTATAGAATTGGATACATCCACGTGTTTTGTGAAGCTTCGCACAATCGTTTGGTCACAACAGAGTGAAGCTTCTCAGGGAAACATGTCTTGAGGAATCGACGCTGTAGGTTTGAGAACACCATCTTGTTCGGCGGAGATGACAGTTGCGAGCCTTTTCAGACAAGACATGTACACAGGAACGGCTGATTTCACCAATTTCTTTTGCACTCCTCTTGATTGCACACGCAGAGGATCTGCAATAGTTTGACGCATACGCTTGAACTGAGCAACTTGTCCTCCTTTTAGCAAGCTCACAGCCAAACCGTTCTTCCCAGCTCTGGCCGTTCGTCCACATCTATGAATGTACGTCTATCCAGGGGCAACGTAACAGATCAATGGAACAAAAAAGACCGGTTAGCTCTGAGAGAAGCGCGCTGATTGGTAGCGTTTTGGGCTCGACGAGTAGCCGTGTTATACAGATACCAAACTCCACTCACTCATCCCGTTTCAAAATGTCAGCACGTACGTACCTTTGCAAGGTTGGGGACATCATAGTTGACAACTGTTCCAATCACATCCACACTGATACCTCTGGACATTCCATCGGAGCAGACAATAACCTGTAGAGAGTTGTTCCCGCTCTCGCACCGTTTCATCAGATGAGATCGCTCGCTCTGACTCAACGAGCTGGAAAACTCGGCCACGGCATCTGGTTGTCCAAAGCCAGCCGACTTCCACAGCAGTTGCAACAGTCGCGCTAATCGATGCGTGGCATCGACACTGGCTGTGAATACCAGGACGACTTGCTTTCGTGTGGTCGAACTGCGGTCCAGTCGTTCCCGGAGAAGCGCCAACAGGACAATGGGCTTTTGTTCCGCCGTGCACTCCACGGTGCATTCTTCCAGTTGAGCGGGTATGCTGTATTTGTTGAAGGACGTGTTGTTGTCATTGTTCGAATGTTTGTGTTTGGAGGCGTTGGACGCTTTGTTGATTTTACGGGCGTCAAAGTACTTTGGACGAACCAGTCGTAGCGCCGATAGCTTTTGTGGATCTTTTGTCAAAGTGGCAGAGAAAAGGAGCTTCCGCAGTTGCCTGCTTTGCATAATAAGCTGCGAATCATCTTTTGTGGCATCCATCACCCGACCAATCCAATCTTGGTATGGTTGGCTCAGCAGTCTATCGACCTCATCGACTACCAAGAATCTCAAGTGTTGCAGGGTGAATCCGGGTGTATAGTTGAGATAATCCATGAGTTTGCCTGGAGTGCAGACGAGCACATCCACATCCGTCTGATGAGTGTTGTTGTGGGTTGTTGTTGTTGTTTGGAAAGCATCCAAGAAATCAGTTTCTTGTTGTTGCCTGGCCTTATTCTTGTTTTGGGTATTTTTATTCCCAATGGCCAGACCAATCACAATATCCGATCCGCGGCTGTATCTCTGAAATACTTCATAGACTTGCTGACCTGCAGTATGGTACCAGCACCAATATGAAAAGAAATGGCATTAGCTCTCACTTCCAGAAATTTCGTGGCTAGCTAGCTCTCGTGACTGTCACTTACCGAGGTCTCTGCTCGGGAGGACGACAAGAGCGCGTAATCGTCTCACTTGACGCTTGGAAAGCACATTCAGTATGGGTAGAACAAATGCCAGGGTCTGCGAATATTTGGAACAAACCACAAGAAAAGAAGAAGAAGACTTGTAAGACATGAATGACATTGAGAAGGATCCTTTACATACAATGCAGTACCGTCAGCAAGTTAGCTAACTTACTTTTCCGGACCCAGTGGGAGCGGAAACACAAATATCCTGAGCTCTTGTATAGGAGAATCGTTCTGAAGTTACCACATCCGGAATCACCAGCGATTGGATCGGGAAGAACTTGGTAAATCCATCCCTCTTGAGATTGTCCACCAGAAAAGGCTCGAGATTCCATAACGCCGATGCTTCATCAATCAGTGGCTCTTCCATCATGGCGCTACTAGTGGTACTTGTCATGCCACTACCTGTACTTGTCGTTATTGTGGCATCAACAACATTATATCATTCTCATGGTCGTGGGTTATGAGGTGACGGATGGCAGGTCGAGTGTGGAGAAAAAATGAGATAAAAAATGAGATCGGCCCAAGGATTTTTGTCATTTTGTCTGTTCTGGAAAAACAAAACGTCTGAAAAGAACATTTTTGCTTGAGTTTTGGTGTCATTTTACAGTTCGAATCATGAGGTTAGGGACTCAAGACTCACACTTAGCCATCCAAAGGATCCACAACCACAGTCACAACCATCACCCATCACACGAGACCGCTGAAGACGATGACAGAAAGAGATTCTCATCAGGAGCAACAGTCTAGTAGTAGTAGTACTGGATGGGGACTCTCTGGGCTTACTGGAAACAAGAAAGAGGATGATTCACTGTCTTCCAAAGCCATTGAGTTTGCTCGGACAATACGGACCCACATTGCAGATTCCCCGCACAAGGTCGTGGAGGCGCCGTACGTTCCCCATGGATTCCTGGAAGGGGCCGAAGTAGGATGCATGACCTACTTTTTGCTAAAGCCCATTGGGAATGGTTTCATGGGTCTTGTCACTGGGTCACCACAGTTGAGAGGTGCCAGTCGGCCCATTGGGCTGGTGGTGACGATTGGACAACTCATGGTAGGAGCGCAAATGGCACTCTATGCGGCCGTGAGAAAAGGGTCCTACACGTGGCTGTCCACTCTGGAAGAAGTTGCGACTTCCACCACGACGACGACAGAATCAAGTGACGATAATGATTGGAAACACAAGGCCATCATGGCAGATGCATTGTGTCGAGATCCCTTGATGGCATCCATCCAGCAACAAATATTAGCCATGACTCAACAACAACAAGAGGGCAGCCAAGCAACGTCCACCACCAATGAGGCTGGATCTACTCCTTCCGTCAAGGATTGGGTGTTGGATGCTGACAAAGTTGTCACGGATCAATTGATTCGAACTGTAGCGGCTTGCAACCAGCGAAACTCTCCATCATCACAAGGCAACACCGAATTTCAATGAATTGGCATCTGACCATGTCAAGCTGTTCTGGATTGATCTCTCATGTCATTGTAGTTTGATCTATAACCACAGTTCATATCGTTTTGTAGTTGTCTGTGGGCCATCAGTAGCGCCCGTCGCTAAAGTCAACTCTTACTTCTGAGCACGTTCTGGCGAGAGAGACATGACCGGTTGATTGGTTGTATAAAGCCTCCACCTCCATCTCCCCACATTGGCAATGACGATGAGTGGCACGAGGCAGGAATCCTGTGTGTTGGTGACAACCTTTGTCGGGATGGCAGTGCTGCAATTAGTCGCTGGTCGTGGGAAATCCATTGTTGGGGCCAACCGTTGTTTCGGAATGGCCCTGACACCTCTACGCCCAAAGTGAAGTTGGTCTTCTTCTCCCTTGGATGCATGCTGATCTCTTCTCAATGTGTCAGCCCTTCGTCCACTGCTGATCCCTTCCTATTTCTTGCTTTGTTGGCTTCAACAACAGTAGCACACCTTTGGTCCTCAGCACCACAACCATGTTTCTCCTGGCCGCCCTGCTGGGCCACCTGATCTTCAAACATCATTGGCAAGACTATCTAACATGATATCTCTGAAAATTTTGAGTGTAATCGAACGACGAAGGATGAATCATGTGATTCATCCTGAAAACGATCCTGCCTCATTGCAGTGGATTCACAACAAATTACTAGCACATTATTGCATTACTGGATACGGATAGTACAGTGATGACATCAAAGGGTTTGGTACCGGTACTCGGGAAGGGCAGCGAAACGATTCAACTCTTGCAGCCCAAGTGCCACCAACGGATCATTGCTGCTATCCAACCCGCGCCATGATTTTCACAAGCACACATGTATGGGTGGCTGTAGCAGGGGAACAGCAAATGCCCTATTACAGCGTGAATCCACTCAACAATGTCCTGTGTTCGTGAACATGAGCAATCTTCTCTTCGGCTTCCAAAGCATCATGGGCATTGTTGGGATGCGCCACCGTCTGGGCATGGTGTACAATGTGCTTGTGGGCCAACTCTTGCTTTCCGTGATCGTGGGCCCGTACGTCGGCAAGTTTGCTCATCACTCCCGACCTTCCGGTACGCCAAAGGTCACCCTTTTCTTCCTCCGTGACCATTACTCGGGCATGCGCAACAAGGGAAGGAGTGGCGGTCTTGGTTGGAGTAGTTGAGCTCATGATGACGTTTTTGCTTGACCTACGAAAGTAGCTTGGAATCTGAACGAATGTAGTGCTTGGATGTTTCAAATGCTTTTAGATTGAAAATGTGAGCTTCGAAAATGATAGAACTGTCCGAGGTGCCGAGGTGCCAGTTCTCAAATCGTCCCAACTCCCGTTCGCATTGGGTTGGTCCCCTGTCCGTTAGAATCGCCGGATTTGTCGACCACTTCAAGGCACCAGAAACAATACATAGCGTTTCATGGTGCAGCATCATAGCCAAATCACATGTCTAATGCAGTTGGCGCACCTTTCGCCCGGGGCTTTGCTGGCTGCCTGGTCATACATGTAGGAGAATGTTCCCTGCGTGACTTCAAAAAAAGATGGATGCGAAGGCAATCAATCATCGTAGCTAATTCATGCTGAAGAAATGTGACAAGTCAAAGTTCTGCAAACTACTGAAAGGCTTCCTGCGCCAATGCATTTGCTGATTATGCGGAAGTTGACAAAGTTCGCATCAGCTGTTGACAACTTAACCGGGGCACCATTGACGACAACTCGCCACGGAGCCAAGATCCTCCTAAGTGGTCCAGTGCCGAGCTGTGGTCAGTCCATTTCGGCAATGCGACGGCAATGACATAGAATGCCCATCCTGTTTGGCTGGCTCATGCTCTGGCGTGGCTGATGCCAAAAAGAATGAAGGTATAGTACCGCCAAGTTGGCTTTGGGTGCGGAGATTGATATCTTGGCTGCTTAGTCGCTCGCTCGGAAGCGGTGTTTTCGGCATTGACGCAGTGACTTGTTCCAACGTGAGTTTTCCACATCATTGTTTTTGTGCAGAAATTCAAAGTTACTTTTTTGGAGGACTTCTGCTGCCCTCCTCAGCCGTCCTTGCCTCAGATACTGCAACCCAAGAAGTCACTCAACTGAACGACCAAGTCGAGTGACGAGTCTTTGGTTGTCAAGTGTTTGGCCGCAAAATTATGCACCTCTAGGTCCCGCACCTTGGCGGCAGATCCCACACCACTACCGGTACTGTACCTCCGCGACAATATCTTCTGCACCTCTGGAGGCCACACCTCCGCGGCAATATCTTCTGCACCTCTAGGTCCCGCATCTTGGCGGCAGATCCCATACCACCACGGCCTGCACCTCGGCGGCAATATTTTCTGCTGCACCCTGGCCGCGAGCACAGAATGCCAGTGGATTGTACCAGTACGACTTGGTTGCTTACAGAGATAGAATTACATGTAAATACCCGGGCCTCAGCTCGTGGGTCGTCCTCAAGCACATCTCGTCTGAATCCGTTATTAGACGTTCAGTTTTTTTTACTTACATGTATTTGGGGTATCCTTTGCAGTAACATTCCATTCTAATTCTAAGAGCAGCGAAATCCGGGCCCTCTTTTAGGTTGCATCTTGGATCCGTAGACCGACAAGAAGTAGAAAACCAAACTCCATCGTAGCTGCACTCACCAACAAGTCGTTTCCCCACAAGTCGCAACCCACTCATTATCTGCTCTCCAGATTGAATCAATCATTCCCCACTGCTCTCCATTTCTCTGAAAGAAGAGACCATGATTTACGGTATTACGTACCGGTAGGGCCTGTGGTGAGCCTGGTTGAATAGTCTTTATAGCAATGGTAATAATGCCATAGAAACATACCTGTCAATGCATCGTGGAACCCAGGCGTGGAAATTGAGGAAGATCTGAGGTGTGGCGAACTATAGGTAACGGCAACGAAGAAAAAAGAAAGAAAAAAAAAGATTTAGGGTACGGGACTAAAATTCAGTCCCGGACTCCCAATCCCGGACCCCCCCATAATCTCTCGTTTCTTTTCATCTCCTCTCCCCATAAACATCTCTCGCCCTAAGACGTCGTTTCCTTTAGTCTTTTGTATGTTAAACTCGATACATTGTTGCAAAGTCTATATTTGGTGTCGAAATGTTTCATTTAGGAGCCCCAAATTTCTATCCCTAAAGATGGCGTGAACGAAATTTGAATGGATCGATTTCCCTCCACCGAAACACAATCTTTCGGCAATGACATACTCCACCAACCGACACTTCGGTGAAGCACAATGGCGCTTCATTGAGCGAACAAGGAAGGCAATCGACACTGATGTGGGGTTCTTTAGCAAGCACCAGAACCAGTGGAAGAATATCTGCCCCCTTGGTGGAAAGTATGATAGTCAATTGCTCTGTTCCACCGCGAATAGAAAATGGAGCGTGGAGTCATTCAACATCAAACCACTTGCTGTTTTCATTCCACATCTATTGATCAAGAACCATGTGCCCACCTGTCCACATTGCAAGAAGAAGCGATATGTGGATGTGAAGAGAGCCCGCTGGATCAATTGCCCCAAAGTGCTGTATGGTCTCAACAGTCACCGCTACTTGGATACCGTGTTGTATTGGTGTAATGGATGCGCTAGGCGTTTCGCTGGATACAACAAGGAGTCGATGTATTTAGATGCCAATGTCTATACTGGGTTATTTACATTCTACCTTGGGAAGAAAGGATACGCTGTGGACGATGAGCTTTACCGGTTCATTGTGGAGGAGTCTGCGAATACGTCAACCGCCCAGATCCATCGCAGAGTGGAAAGGTTTCACCATGACCAATACGTCGCAGACTTCAACTTGTACCTTGCTGGAATCGCTGTTAACAAAATTGTACGCCCAAGAAAGCGCAGACGAACCATTCAAAGAGCTTTGAATGCAGAAGTGATAACTGATGCCCAGCTTGCCAGACTGACCCGGAGGAGAACAGAGAAGAGCAGCATCCTCACACGCCGGAAGCTTGAATTGGGAACTGCCCGTTCCAAGGTAGTCACAGATTTGGAATTCCGGTACCTTCTCGGTGACAAGAAGAACCGCAACGTTCATGGCGACAGGAATGTACTGAAAGGATTGGGCATAACAAAGATGCGTCGGTTGATCGAATTGGGAATCAACAGCTGCTTTGAATTAAGAGACTGTGACCCTTTGGAACACCCTCGGCATTACCATCATCTCCTTCCTGTGTGGGCGCGAATTGTTGAGAAGTATTATGCCAGTATTGAAGAGCAAATTATTGCCTTGGAAATTGATGTGACCGAGGCTGAACTGGAGTATGAGAGGGCAGTTGAAGAGCACACCCAGTATGAGGCGCAGCATTCCAATCAAGGAGGGGCAGCAGCAGCTGAGGAGCAGCCAGAGGAATCCACTGAAGATGCCCGACCACCACTGTTCTCCAAGTTCATGGACAGGAAGGGGTATAATGGGCAAATTATCAGCAAGTATCGAATTGACTTCATTGTCATGACAGTCTTCCATCACTCCAAGGAATTCATAGAGAGCGAAATGCAGGGCATTGAAGCCAGCTGCTGCAAGGTGGATTTCAATTACAAGTTGGCAGCAAAGATTCAAGTTTGGTCTTCTCAAGGTGTCAGCTTCTGTCCTTTTCAGTGCATCGTTACAGTGCAGAATGAGGATGGCTTAACAATCTTTTGGAAAGCACTTAAGCTGAGTGAGTCCATCTCGGAGATCCAGGAAGATTTCCAGAGGCTACGGCGACGACTCAACAGGAATTTGGCGACCACCAAGCATATCCAATGGATCAAGGAATGTCAACGAAGAGAGGATAGTGCTGCGGATCTATTCGATAGAGAGGCTCGAACTGTTGAAGTGCCAACGAACAAGGAGTTCTATGGTCCTGAAGAGCAAGCGGTGAAAGTCATCTGGGTTAACAATTGCTGTACAGTCCGTGCTATACTTCGTCGATGCTTTCCTGGGGCCATTGTTTTGTTGGATGTATTTCACTGGATGAAAAGGTGGAATGACCTGTTAGAAGAACCGTGCGGTCCACTTGCTGGTGTTGTAAGGGCCTTGTTACACCGTGCAGTCTTTGTTGTTGAACCAGGAGAGTATTGGCAATGGAAGGAAGAGATAACAGCGAAGAAAGGGAGAGAAGCGACTACAAAGGAGGTCTTAAAGGCATGCAAGAGTGTCGTCCCTTCTCCCTCCATTCTACGATCCAATGCAGAGGCAGTTTACAGCTACATGGTGTCCAAGGATGCAGAGACCGAGGCAACTCTGAGCACTCGCTCACAAGATGACCAATCGCCAAAGCCAAGACGGTTTCTGAAACCAATGACAGCGAAGCTTCGCAAACACGTGCAGACTCTGTTTATGCATATCGACAAGGGTTGCTTGAGCGATCCAGATCCAACCATTGTCAACATCTTTCGATACAATCCAACCAGCATGATCACTTATGTTGCCAGAGGAACCAACACCAATGAACGAGATAATCTTGACCTCGCTCATTTGCTTATGTTCGCCACGTACATCGGTAAGTCAACTTGGTGTTATTGTCCTGTTGCAGTCACACTTCTAACATCACTTTTTTTGGCCACTAAGGAATTCAAAAAGCTGAGCGATTGATATGGTTGTTCTTCAAAGAAAGGAACTGGTCCAGAGCAATAAGTCGACTTGGTGGAGAGAACCATGGAACACCCCACACAGAAAAGCTTCTTCTACTGAATAGCTACGCCCGTTCGCTGGGTTATTCAGAAGACAAGCTTCCATTCCAAGGTGTCAGTGCTCCGGTTAAGTCGAAAGAAAAAGAATTCTTGGGTTTTACTTATGACATTCCAGACTATGTTCATAATGTGTCTAACCCAGCCGATGGCACTACCGCTGTGCAGGAATCGCCAACTGTTGAAATAATAGATGAAGACACAGACGGTACAGAAGAAGAGCCACCAACAGATGCCGATGCTTATCTACTTAGCGTCCTTGGAGATAATGGCGACATCGAAATCATTCTGAATGAGCCACCAACCGAAACCGGTACTGGTAACACACAGGTGGTACGACAGGAATTAAGGCTTCAGCAGACAGCCGAATTGGCCAACACCAATGACGCCCAACACCAAGATTTGATCCAAGCCGAGTTGAGTAAGCTTTTGCCTGCGGACCATGGCCAAGAATCCACTCTTGATGCCTTCCGACGTCTTTCCAATCATCAAGCATGGTTCCCTCTGAGAGCCCCAGGCAGTACCAGCGCTGCCTCTGAGATAGACAAAGCCGAAGCTGCCTTGTTCAATGAATGGAGATCGAGGTACAGTGTCAAGGTGTCAGTAGGCCCAAGAAGTTTTCATGCATTTGCTCGCGACTGGAATGTTGAAGCGGCAAACCGATTTCGTGCCTGGAGTCAAGGTGATGAAGCGATTGTACAGATACGTCCAAAGACAAGAGAGTTCCTTGTGCAACATGAGAAGGCTTGTGATGACTATGAGAGCATGATTCGCAAATTTCCGAGGAACGATCTGGACCGTGAAGTACTCAACAGCACTCTTCGACAAGGGCGAAGTCAACTGCCGCGAGTGCCGGAGGCTCACCACTGTACTCCTCCTGTTTTCAGAACACTTCAAGCCAATCCGGTGACTCCATTTGGCAATCCTACCCAATTGAATGCAACTATCACTCACAATGCCATTGCAAGGCAAAATGGCGCTGGACTTGCTGCTCCATTTGTCATGCAACTGCCTAACATACCCATTGTTGCCCCTCAACCACAACAAAAGAAGAAGTTTCGCAGCAGGATGTTCTGCATTGTTTGTGGTTGGAAAAAGAATGAGCACACTCCAATGGAGGGAAAGGGTGGCAGATCTAGAAAAGGAGAGAGTAACTGTAACAGAGGCTACTGTGGCAACTGCTTTCAAGTAGAGGCGCAACATCCTGATGGGAAGATGGGGCCTGACTGCACTTTCCCTACAAGCCAACACTGCACAAGGAATACCAATGAGTGGTGGTCTACATGTGAGTTTTCATGACTATTGTTACTGTTGTTACTGTTGTTACTGTTGTTACTGTTGTTACTGGGATGCTACTTAGATATCAAACACCAACATTTATTTCTTCCACTTTCAGAGCTAATAGGTTGGACCATCCAACAAACCCTGCGCATCCAAGGTCTGGTTGATAATGACTTGGTTGATGCAACTCTCAGCATAGGCATCACTGGCATCAGCAATTCCTGTGAAAGACCAGTTGTAGGATGGGTAAGTCCTCTCAAACCATTCATCCCAGCACTGAGACACAATGTATGTGTGGTCAGAGTTCCTTCCAAAAGCAGTGTTACACATCTCTTTGACTAACCACCAAATGCACTCCTTGTACAGGTCCTTCTTGGCAACAGCTACTGGCTCTGTAACAATGTCAAAGCAGGTGAGAATGACATTCTTGTACCAGTCAACACTCCTGTCAATTCCCCAATAGTGCATGGCATCAAGCACATTTGTCATCTCAGGGGGAATCACTCTGGCTCTTCCAGTCATGATGAGTTGTTCCAGCATTGGGCCCTCAAAGCAAGTAATTGGCACACAAAACACAGGCATTTGCTGGGTTTGCTCTGGGTTCCTTTCATCCAACAATACATACTTTAGCGCAACACTACTCCTGGTTGCCTTCAGCTCATTAAATGGATAGTAAGGAACCTCCATTAGGAATTTGGAAAATGCTTCACTAGTATTGAACCTCATAGTAATGCAGTTGTTGCCTTTTTTGATTCAATGACTCGATCTTTGCGATCTTTGTACGGAGACCAAAATGTGAGCGCGAAGATTTCCCTCCAAATTATACGATGCACCAATGCTGCGGACTTATGAGCAGCGCGAACTGTGGGCTTGAATCTGACCATACTTAGCGAACAGAACCCTCGCCTAATTCTTGTGGATCTTGTTTGACTAAAATCGTGACGTATGGTGGTAACAAATTTACCAAGTCTTGTATGAAAATTCGTACTCTATTTTGTCGATACCCAACCTTGGTCTCGCTAGATCTGATTGGATGTTTCCCAGTTGTTCCGCGGATCCTCGCCCTCGAAGGCATTGAAGTTCGAAGAACAGAAACAACAGCAAACTTACTGGATGTCGAACACCCTCCACAAACAAAACACAAAAACGATTATATTCCCTCAAATCAAGTAAGGTAACTGACCATGGAATCTCCATCCGTATCACCGTTGCCGTTTGCCTTGGATTCCATCAGCGTCGCTACGGCTGCAACTACCAGTACGAGTGTCAGTACGCTATCGCAAAGTCAAGACGACAATAATAGCGATCCACTCTTATTGCAAACGCAATTACAAGCAGATGACGGTTTGATGATTGACACGGTCGAATTGGAATGGGACGACAAGGCGCCGGCTCCATGTGTTTCGCCCGATGAAATCGAGTCGTTAATGGCCCATCAAATGAGTGCGCTGTCGGTCGAAGATCGCGACAAAGTCTATCACGATTTGTACGGCATTACCCCGGCATTTACCGAAACACCCGAGCTGCTCCAAGCACGTCTCGCAGCCATGGAAGACGAATTGGAACAATTGCACGATATTCCCGCCTACGACATGGCCGTCTTGTTGGATCGCGACTATGTGACCAAGGATGAATTTCGACTACGATTTTTACGCGCCGACCTGTTGGACGCCAAGAAAGCAGCGCATCGCATGGCCCGGCATTTCAAGGCCAAAATGGATTTATTTGGACGCGACAAATTGGTCAAGGATATTACCCAAGACGATCTCGATGACGCCACGCTGAAGGCGTTGTATAGTGGCTACTGTCAATTCTTGCCACTCCGCGATCGCGCCGGTCGCATGGTCCATGTCCAATTTGTAGTTCCACCGACGATCGATTTGGAAACGAAACTCAAGATTGATTTTTACATGGTCATGGTCAAATCGGAAGATATCGAAACGCAACGCAAAGGATGTGTCGGCATTCGATACTTCAATGGACAATGGTTACAGGCACAACAACAACAACAGGCACAACCACAGGAGCAACAACCACAGACCAATAATTGTCTTTGGCAAGCACCGCAGTTATTGACGGCATTGCCCCTTCGGCCATCGGCCATGCATCTCTGTCATGATTCCAAATCCATTTGGTCGCCCGTATTTGCCGTCATGAAATATGTATTGGGCTATTTTGTCCGCAATCGAACCCGAGAACATTATGGAACGCACGAACACAACTTGTTTCAGCTACAGACATACGGCATAATAACTTCACCCAGTTGTTTTCCATTGGATTTGGATGGCAAGATTCTGTTGGAATATCATCACGAACTGTGGCGAAAACGACGCAATCTAGAACGATTGCGCGAGGAAAAATTAGTGCAAAAGGAACAACAGCAAGAACAGGAGGAAGAAGAGGAGGAAGAAGAAGATGTCAATCCACAAGAGCAACAATCACAACCCACACCTGCTGACAAGAACGACAAAAACAAAAACAAAAAGAACAAATCTACCGTCGTCGATCCAGAACCATTCTCCATTGCCGGACAGAACGATGTCTTGCTGGGCCGCGGCAAACGTTTCTATGAACACTCGGGCAATATTCGCTTTCGATACATGGTCGAACATCAAGCGGCGGATTACAATGCCACTGCGTCGGCATCGGCCAAGAAACGCATCACTTCGGATATTGTTGCCAAGATCCATCAGACTGGGGGACGATTCCTCAAGGACGATCGAGATGCGGGATGGATTGAAGTGGACGATGAAACGGCACGGCTCAAAGTCAGTCATGTCTTTCGCAACATGCGATTATCCAAGAATAATAACAACAATACTGCTGCATGTAGCAACAATCATCATGAGAACAACAACAAGGGAGCCAGAACCAAACGAGCACGGGAGGAAGATGTCAGCAGTAAAAAGACCGCCACTACCACAGCTAGTACGACCAGGGAGGAGGTCTCATCATTCAAGGAAACCAAAGAGGATTTCTAAAGGAAAGCCATAATTCTTGATCTTGGAACAATGCTACTAATAACGAAACAACCACACCAAGACATCTACACAAGTATTAGAGACCATCAATCAAGGCAGTTCGGCCTACCAGCGAAGACCTCTGCTACCGATAGCAGAGCCAGCCCATCTCACTACTAGCTAGAGTAGCTATATTGCTCTACATCGAATCAGATTTGAGTAACTCTCCTTTATGGCTCGAAGTCTTGTGCAGAACCTGCGTAGGAACCTTTGCCAAGGAGCTTAATAACTAAGTCGCCTACGTGTAGACTATCCAAACCTATGCGCTTGACAGCTGTGTAACATCCAACTGGGATCATCTCGTGCATTTTGTATCAACCTGCTCATAAGAATCAAACCGTTCACACTCCGTCTTCCTCATTTTTGAAAGAACTTGGCCAAAGCATGAAGTTTCAGCAGCCAGTGTCCTCGAGATTGTAAAAGTCAAACTGTGGAACGTCATCTCCCAACCAAACCTTCTCCAAGGGCACCTTGGACGTTTCTCGTACGCAGCTGCAGCTGTTGGAACCCACCACTATCCTGAGCTTTGTCAAACGATCGGCCGAGGCTTGGTCGTCATAAGTCAACCAATGCTTCCAGCCCAACACATTGAAGTTGTTGTCATACGGTAGGCTGCAATCAAGCCACCGTTTTCTTCACTGTAGTAGGGAGCTTGGTACATGACTGCCTTGTCATCGATAGTGCTGCCACAAACGAGAATGATGGGACTTCCTCTGGGAGCAGCATTCTCCGCAAGAGCCACGAGCTTGGCGGTGGCTTCCGGGCCTCCATAAATGGCCTCTGCCATTGGAGGATCGTGCAACTATGCAAGGAGCCGCTCTTGGAGACTGGCATTGTCAACCACGGCGGCTGTCACGTACCCCGAGGAGGCACATATACCAAATCCAGAAAGTTTGGTCTTGTCCACATCGTCCCGACCGAGCATGCACTTGGCTGCAGACTGGATATCCGCAGTCTTGACAGTTGGGTCTTCAATGAATCTTTTACGAGCTTCCGTCGAAGCACTGCTTTCACCTCAACCAGTAAGGTCAAAGGCTAACGTAACCATGGCACGAGCAGCCAGCTCATGGGCATAAGTGCCTGACATTTGTTCATTGACAGTTAGTTGTCCAGGCACCGGTCACAATCGCAGCGCGAAGGGGTGATTCATCACTAGTTCCCGCTTTGTATATCGTTCCCTTGCGTTCCAAATATCGCTGTCAAAGGAAACAGTCTCCGTGGCAACCGAATCCAATGAGGGAGTGTTTTGCCAGTTCTCTTTTCGATACTAGCTAACTAGTTTCAGAATCTCTGTTTGCACAATTGGTGCAGAGACATCGAAAAGGCAAGCCTAGCCGACAATTACGGATGTTAAACTTTATAGCTTGGTGGCATGGTTGGTTTCACACACATGTATGTGTCTCTTGTTACCTCCTGTCTCCATCAATTGTCCTGTTGCAGTCTACGCCAAAGGGACAGTTCTTCAGATCCCCCGCCCTGCACATTCTCCTTTTTAGGAATGTCCAAGGTCGACACAGCCCAAGCTGATGCCATGGCAATCCCAAGGATTTCCAGGGCAAACTTCGTTGTAATGTGATGCAACGGCATGTCAAAGCAGCAAGAGTAAAACCCAATAGTGATCCACCATGCCCCGTGAAGAACGATTAGTGCCAAGCTGGCAATAAATGCCATACCGCTGGTTGGATCATACACCGAATGCGACATCATGAGTGCACATCCAAATCCAGAAAAAGCAAGGATGCCATGGAATCTCCTTTGTACCACGTGTGCCAGCATCATCGAGTGAGGTACCATGATGATGGTCTGAAGAAAAAAGGCCAATGCAATGCCACGTCGCCAAGAGTCGGGTGGGAGCCGCCCCTTGGACTCCAGCATCGCCAGGACTCCAACATGGAAAAATGACAAAATGATGACCATGTTATCTACAGAAGTGTCAAAATATCCTTTTTGAAGCAGTCCCAAAGTTGTTTGCCAAATTAGTATGGGGAGCAAGGCAGCAGCAATCCAAAAGCCAAAGAGAAAGAGAAAACGCTTGTCTTTTTCGGGAACATGAGCTTCCATAAATGACTTCCCAGGAGGGAGATTGTTGGCCCGGTGGTAGGACACAAGAGCCACAGTCAATGCCCCAATGGCATAGACCAAACCAGGTACTACATGACCAAAAATCGTCGCTTCTCTTCCTGTAATCAGACTCCAGGTAGGGGGCATGTAGTCGGTGGTGGAATCCATATCCATGTTGTTCATATCCATGCCCATGGTTCAATCAAGAGTTTTGAGATTGGAGGTTTGGACTGTGATCACAGGTAAGCACAAATTGTGAGGAATTCTGGCTACCGGCTGCTAGCTGAGCTACTGAGTCTTATGACTCGGTAGCTGGTGTCCTTCCCTGTCCGGTACCATTGCAGGTACGCTAGCTTCTCAGATGCCAGAGCCCTTCCCTGTCTGGTACCTTTGGCCGCTTGCGGCGGGTTGCCAGACGATAGATGCGCCATTGATTTTACCAAACCACGTTTTTAATCGGGAAACGTTCGTTGCGTTACGTTTGCAGCTCTTACCAATTCACGACTGTAAGAGATTGTGACACGCAAGCCAGTCCCAATTGGTCCATGACCGAAAGGGGCCGATGAACGCCTTGAGACTTGAGACACTCGGATTCTACTAGCTAGAGGGGGTGCCTCAAACCAACTCTGTTTACCTGATTGTTTCCCCAACCACCATAACCAAGCTTTTGTGTGATCGCCAAACTGCTGAAACTGCGAGCAATGGTGGTGGAGAGTGGTGGAGAGTGGCGCAGCCTGGTGACAATCGCAAAGACCTTGAGGATGGTAAACAGGCGGTGAACAGGTGGTAAACAGGCGGTGAAAAGGCGGTGAAAAGGCGGTAGAACAGGCGGTTGAAGTCGGTTGAAGGTGGTCGAAGGCGGTTGGAGGATGTGGAAGGTGGTATAAATTGGCTAAGGTTGGTTAATAATGGCTGCCATCGCTAAATGATTTTAGGAAGGTGGGAGAAGATAGAGCATACCATTCAGAGTTGGTTTGAGGCACCCCCCTACCCCCTAGTAATAAAGCTTCCAGTACGTACTTTGGGGAGTGCCTCAAACCAACTCGGAATGATGCATTGATTGTTCCCTCAACCAACAGATCTCTATCTTCAAGTAAGTTATCACCATCACACAAGAACAGGCGGTTGAGGGTGGTTGAGGTCGGTCTAGCGCAGTTGAAGGTGGTTGAAGTTGGTGCGGTCGGTCAATGTGATATATTCTATTGAGAAAGGTAGGATAAGGCAACGTTGGTTTGAGCCCCCAGGTAGCAATCAAGCTCACACTTAATTTCTTCACAGAACGAGAAGTTCTGGTTCCCAAAAAGACAAAACTACCACCAGGATAAAGAAGCGCAGCATCATGAGGCAAAGCATGTTCTCGGTTGCTGGCATTGTTTTGGAAATTGGGGTGGATCATGATTGATTGGAAGAGAGAAACCTACAGTAGTAATTTGTAAACAGCTCTAATGGTTTATATGGTACGGTAGCCTTCAGAGCTGCCTTCGCACAACCCACCCTTTGGCGTCTGACGTCAGTTGACAAGAGCGATTTTGACATCAGATGTCCCCTCAAACTCTGCAACCACAAGCACCCATCAACGCCAACAGAGTGAATTCAACAACAGCATCGACACCATTAGTTACAGGCATTGAATAATATATATATGATAACTGGACAATGAGGCAGGTTCTTTTGGTATTCGTTGCAGTGCAAGCTCTGCTTTTATTATTATTGAGCCCTTCGGCAGAAGGATTAGCCGCCAAATCCTCCAAGAAATCCAAGAAACTGGCATCGGCCGGTGGCAAGGGGTTTGGCGCATCATCCTCGGGCGCTGCCTTGTTGCACACTCCCGACGACTCGGAGAGTACTCAGAAATTGCTGCAGTTTTTGAAATCACAAAAAGCCAAGGGAGTGGATCAAGGAGTGGCCGAAATTGGCATTCACGACAAGACGGGCCAACGCGGTCTGTTTGCTACCACCAATATCAAGAAGGACCAAATCATTTGCATGATTCCCTCCGATGTCGCTCTGGCACTGTCCGATCCGGCCAAGTTGGGAAAAGACGCTCCGACGTTTGCTCACGGCGGCGCCAACTTTTTGAACATGTATTGGAACAATGCCGAACGTCGTCCTCTGTGGTCCTTTTATCTCGATACACTGCCATCTGACGCGAAATCGCCGTATTTTGACGCCACACCCGATTTCTTTTCCCAGGAAGAAATCGAATTGTTGGAATTCCCGCGCTTACTCGACAATATTCGCAAACGGCAACACGATATCGAATCACTGGCGGCCGAACAAGGTTTGGACCAGGATCAACTACAATTCGCCACTTGGTTGGTATCATCCCGGGCATTCAACATTAATTTGGCAGACGACAATACCCAAAATACACCAGAAGAAGAACAATACGACGAACGAGGGCAAGTGGTGACCAAAGCCGGTGCAGGCTTGAACAGTATCCGCGTCATGGTCCCCTTTTTGGACCTGTGCAATCACGATTCTGTGGCACCCAATTGTCGTTTCACCATGATTGACGCCGATAAAGACGAAGCCTGGTTTGCGTTGGAAGCCAATCGTCCCATTCCGGCTGGACGGGAACTTCAAATGGCCTATCGGAGTGGCATTTATTCGTCGGTCGAACTGTTCCTCAACTACGGATTTGTCCCGGAGGAAAACAAGGTCGATGCGTACATGTTGCGCAAGGGAGGTGAGGGTGTCATTGCGAGTGCCGACGGATGGACGACTACACTGGAGGAAGATCAAAGCATGTTGGAAATGCTCCAGAGCAAAAGTGATGACGACAACAACAATGACGTACTGAAAAAGATTCTGGCGTTTCGATCCAATATGAAAAAGGCGTACCAAGACTTGTAGCGGAATGGATTGTTGGCCAGTGATGCATGCATGCATAATATGATGCAGAAAGGAAACAATGAATGGGCGTACGAGATAAAATATAAATGCATACCGGTAGATTGAACAGGATTGCGGAATGAAAGTCCGGTATCTCCGACTCACACAGGACGTTAGACTACTAAGTACTGGTGCCAGAGCCAATGCGTAAAAGGATAGCCTTCATGGGCGGACAGCCATTCCGACTTTCTGTGATAAGTTGAGGGGTGAGTGAATCGAATCTCCAGGAACCGCGCCGTGTTTTGATGATACACATAGGGGTCCAGTGCTGCATCCGTCTCGTACGTACTGTGCATCACCCACTTCAGGGTCAGAAGATTTTTTCAGTGGACTGGTATCACTGGACGTTCGCACAGTCTTTCCCAGGCATCTATCTATCAAATCCTTGACGGTGGCTTGCTAACTACCGGTAGCTAGATTGATACCGTCCCGTTCAACTATCCTACAAAATCATATCACTCGAAAAAATTCAATGAGAAAACGTAGATATTTTGATTCGATTCTTCTTGTAATTTATAGTGAATTATTTGAGTGTTAGGCGTCACAGAAAGGCTACCACCGAGAGTAATTGTTGCCCATGTATCGTGACTCTTACAGTGTTGGCACTCTAGCTAGCTAGCTATCCAGGGATACCATGCAAATTGTGGAATGCTCCCATGGAAAACTAATTGTGTTGGTAACAACCTGCAACGCCCACTTTTTCTTCGTATACCTTCCACTTTTGCGTGGTACGCATGGTCCTGTATCAATCAACCTCCAATCAAGACTTCAAATACAATGGTCAAAATATTCGCGGCAATGACGGGGACCCTGAGGTATTGCACGGCATGGAGCAACCCCGCAGCTTGCTGTATCAATGGATTGTTCGACGCATTGGCGTGTTGGCTGTTCATGTCGTCCAGACCATACTTGGCCAAAAATCGTCGTCGATTCAAGATCAAAAACGCATTGCACATCAACAGTCCTGCCTGCAATACCAATAATAAAAACAAGCGATAAATACACAGAGTGAGTCGTTCAGTATGAAATTTAATGCAGTCGAGTCTCTCGGTGTAGGAAATCAATCAGGCCGCTGACAACCATGAAAGCAGCTACCGCTAGTAGATAGATAGATGATTGTCTCGCATTCCATCTGGCCAGTTGCTTGGCTCACCTTGAACAAATGCCACAAAGAGAAACCCATCGTAGAGGACCACTGCTATTGTTTCATGGAGATCAAAGAGGTTGTTTGGTGTTTGTGGAAGAAGAAGATGAAGGAAGATGAGGGTTACGGTTTCAGAAGCTGTGGTATTGAGCCATTGTGCGTCCCTCTTCTTTGAGATCCTGTAAACTCCCGAGCTCACAATTTCAATTTTTTTGAGTTTCAAGCACCTGGCATCAAGCTCTCTCTCGGATGCAGCTCTAGCTAGCTCCGTCTTTGCTACAACCTTGCAACCAAATCACCAAATACAAGTACCGCAGTGAAATCAAATCAAATCGAATCATGAGCATGTCGTATTCATCATCTTCCGCCGTACACAGCAAAAAGAAAGAGGATTCCAAAAGCAGCTGCTCTACTTCGGGTCGTTCCGGTCGTTCCATGGCACGGGCGCAGCAGATTGAGGCGGCTCTTTCCGACTTGGAATCCTCGTTTGAACGTGATAGTCACTCGGCTCGATACACGTCGCATGTTCTCGATATTCGCAGCAACAGCAACAGCAATGGAGCTGACGATATCGACGACTTTTCCATTACGAGCCGTCCGAGTTCCGCGGGGTGGTTGGATGATGATGATGATGATCCAGATGCTGGTATCGGTACTACTAGTACCACCGAACCTATTACTGCAAAAAGTGACAGCAACGACGACAGCATGATGATTAATTTGTGGCAACGACAACAAGACCTTCGCGAAACGGTCGATCAGAGTGTCAATTTGATGGACCCCAAGGCGGCCAAGTACGAGGGAGATGCGCTTCGAAGTACCGGTTTGGAGGGGTTTCGCGATTTGAAAAAGAAGAGCAGTCGTTACTCCAACAAGGGAGATTCCTTCAGCTTTCCATTCTTGCCGTCTGGATTTGGAGATCTGCAGTTGATGGAGACGGAAATCAAGAGACGAGTGCACGATCCACAAAAACAGCAACAACAAGACAACAACAACCGGGCAGGCTGGAAATGGATCCTTCTCGTAACTTGCTTCTTTCTGGTCGTGGCTGTATCGGTGACTATCACGGTGATTCTGATAGAACAGCAACATGGCAAAGCAACTCACGGTACTCAGGAATATGATGGTGCTGTCAAGACTATCCTTGATACATCATCTGCCCAAGAGAAACAACGACCTGGTGTTGGCTTACCCTCTGAATCTCGCTCTTGGGATGATGATGCCATGAACTCTGTTGGGGGTGATGGAGGTGAAGCAACGTCCCCGGATATTATTTCAGGCACTAGTAGGAGCCATGATTACGAAGTCATCACCAATAAGGACAACATACCAATGTTTCGTCCAACAACGGTGACTCTGCCAGCCAAGACCCGAGCTCGTGCCATGCTGGCTCTGCTACTGGAATTTCAAGTTTCTCCACCGGATACCATTCTTGGCAAAGACAAAGGATCGGCAGCGTACCGTGCGTTGCAGTGGATTGCAGATGAAGATCCAGCCAAGCTTCCCTTTCCCCATTTCTACTATCAGTCGGCCCATACGGCAAAGCTCAGTCGCCACGATCAAGAACAACCGGAATGGAGAGACGACTCCTTTGCCATTCAACAGCTCCTGCAACGCTACGCCATGGCCGTGTTTTACTATTCGCTCGAAAAGCCGCACACCACCGACGAGGCCACCGCCGACCAAGTCCTGGAGGACACGGTGGCGGCACTCAACCACGAAAAGCTTCAGCAGAGTTGGCTCACAAAGGATCATCTTTGCCATTGGCGTGGCATTGATTGTGGAACCTACGACCATGGAGGGAAAGCGGGAGTAGAATCTATTCACATGTCGTCGGTAGTCAGCATCAATTTGACTCGCCATCACCTCTACGGAACGCTGCCACCCGAGTGGTTCTCGGGTACAGCTTTGCCAGACCTTGCCAGTGTTGACTTATCGGGCAATCACCTGCATGGGTCTCTTCCAGACGTTGTGTCAATGACTCCCAGACAGGAAGACGTGGACAACAATAGCAATCAGCACAAGATCACAACTGGCAAAGCCGAATACACTTTGCGCTTCCCACAAAACACCAACAGCAGCTTGGTGTCCTCACTCATCCAAGATGCAGATGGCTCAGAGCTCCTTATCATGGATCTTTCTCGCAATCGATTTACGGGGACTCTTCCAAGGTGGTTGCAAAAGATGACGAACTGTCTAAACCTCTTTCTAAATCACAATCAACTCGCTGGGCCTCTGGAAGCACTATGGGGTCAGTTCCCTGGCCATCAGGCAATCAAACTAGGTAAGTGGCACTGCCTTCTGAGCTATCTTCTCTTGGTTATCGGCGCTGTGTTTGTCACTAACGAACGAACGAATACTGTCACGACGATTGGCCTGCGTAGAGCAACTTGCTGTTGGGAGCAATCTCTTGACAGGGACAATATCCAACGATCTAGGCTATATGAAGCACCTGCGTAAGTTTCCCTTTGGCTTCCGGTGTTGATGCCGTTATACCTTTTACAGCTTATTGTATGCCTCTTCATTTCCTCTTCCCTGCTGTGTGCCCTATTTCACAGAGCTGCTGTCCCTGGAGAGTAACTTTTTCTCTGGGACACTCCCAGAAGTGTTTGATGAACTGGACCAGTTGGGTAAGTCAGCCGATGATAGCAACTCATGCAGCAAAAGCATATGTGATAATCTAATCTCCAGCTTTCATGCCCAAGTGGAACTACACGTCAATGATAACATCATCGAGGGGACGTTACCTGCTAACATGGCGAGAATGACACAAATAGGTGCGTTCCGCTGCTACATGAAGTTACGATCCCCCGATCTCCGCAGTTCCTTCTCACACCCGGTGCGATGCGCAGCAAGAGTGCATCTTGAGCACAACCAGCTCAAAGGAGAAATCCCTTTTACATGGGACCAAATGACAACACTCGAGCTTCTTTCATTGCACAACAATGCTATCGAAGGCAGTTTGCCCACCTTCTGGGATAGCAGAATGACAAACCTCACGGACCTGTGGATCCAGAGCAATCAATTTCGCGGCTCCATTCCGTCAGAGTTGGGCTCTTGCACAAATTTGGAACGAGTATACCTGAACGACAACTTCCTTAGAGGATATACCCCTTCGGCCCTTGGAAACCTTGCAAAGCTAGGTAAGACCTCGGCTCGGAAAGGAGTCGGACTGTATACGATGGAGCTAACATGACACGTTCATTTCCCTGGCAGAGAAATTGCGTCTTTATGGGAATCGGTTGACAGGCACAATGCCCCAAACAATCTGCAAGCTCTTCGATGACAATCTTGAACTTCTATCGGCGGATTGTAACAGTGGCCATATTCTTTGTGGCTGCTGCAACACCTGCGTGTAGTGAGCTAGCCTGAGGCTGTCCACAATGTTGAGCGGACAAGGAAGAAACTCGGAGCTCGGTGGCTCACTACTTCGCCGGAACGTGTTACAGAGTTTGGGCCTCTTATTTACACAACTTATTGCTGAATAGACAATGAACTTGACTTTCGAATGTTTTGGTCCTCATTGTCCGGAATGCCACCACACCAGCTGCCAACACTTCTGGGGTCCAGATTAACTGCGCCATTGCTCATTCAAACTCGAGGACATATGCGGGATAGACTTGATTGTTTCGGTTCACGACGTATCGGTTGTCACTTCCACCACCCCACTGGTCATCTTTGCGGGTATGTCCCTCCGAGCTTTTGCCACAGTGATGGCTGTCCACCTCAACTCCATTGACGATATCCAGCGCAGACTTGCCATGGATCTCGCCAATGTACCCTAGAACAGTGCGGACAAGAAAGATCTTTTTAGCCTTTCCATGCGACGGAGAATAATCTAACGAGTACAGGCTGTTTGTAGAGAGCCAGATACCCTTCGGGGTGCAAGAGCTGAAACTCGAGTCGAAACCTCCGACTAATATCTTCTCCAGAGCCCCCTCCACTTTACCACTTCCATGCCATAGGAATTCTTCGTTTGGGTTGCCGTCGTTGAGAGAGGTTTTACCCACCGGTTCCCTCGTTCGTGCAAACAAGTTCCAAAGCAGAATGTTTTGGACACGACGCATCGAGACAATGTTGTTCTTCGATGTCTTGGAGAAAAAGGTGGCTACCTGCTTGTATTCGGGGTCCGAGGGAAGAAGCGACACCTCCATGTAGAGCGCATCGCCCATGGTGTGCCAAGTCATAGGAATCGCATCGTACCCAACAGGCTTGCCGTTGGGGTAGGGAACCTTCCATGCCGTAATATCGGCGCCCTTCAATCGTTCTTCGGCACGCTCTAATAGGTGGATTGCTTTCTGCTGTTCAAACTCCGCCTTTTGCAATGCCGTTCTTGCTTCTATCGAGGCCTTTCCCACAGTCTCCAATGCCTTTTTGCGCTGATTCATGAGCTCAGCCATTGTCTTGGGATCCAAGTCACAAGCACGGATTCGATGAACCCTACGTGCGTACCTTGTCTTGACGTTCTTCTGGGAGCTTTCTTGGATGTCAACGGTGTAGCTAAGACCACTTGTCTGGGCGAAGAGTTTCTGTCCAACGGAGATCTGCACAGTTCCAAATTCCGCGGTGGATCCACCGGCTTCCAATACAAGGTGGTGTGCTTCCAGTTTCATCCAGATCCGCTGCTCATACAGAATCACAGGGTTGCTTTTGGATCCGTGCTTCCGAGTCTCGTCGGGGTGAGCGTCGAAGCGACAGGCGTCCTCTTCCCATACCCACACGAATGCACCGCCTTCCACGCCGGCTTGGAGAGCTTCGATGTGAAAGTTACCATTTTTCGCCATCTCTGCAGCGAGGTTCCTTGCTCCCTCATGACCAGCATCAACCATATCCTGATTTCCTGAGAATTGTGTCTCACGAGCGATCGCCTCGTCGACGGCGACCTTTGCTTTCATCGCATTCTTTTGCTTCTCGTCGGCCTTCTTTCTTGCTTTTTCTGCTCCTGCCTGCGCTTTATCTGCCCAGTCTTTTGCATCTTTCGCCTTTTTCAAGTGCTCGATGTGATACTCCTTTAGCAACTTGGCAACTTCAGCGGCTCTTTCCTCTGGAGTTTCACGGCGTTCTGGCTTGATGCGTCCTTCGAGGTACGCGCGCTCATTGGCATCCATGTCCTCCTTGATGCCCTCCAACTTCTGACGATATGCTTCGTTTTCTCTCTTGTATTCTTCTTGGCGTATAGCAGATTGCTCCTTCATCTTCTTCAACACCTGTGCATGGGCTGCATCAAGCTTGGCCTTGGCCGTCTTCACGGCTTCACAGTCTCCGCATCCGGACTGCAACGGTGTTTCGATCAGTTTCTCTATGTCTTCCTCTAACGAACTCATTGTAGCATTAAGGTCGGTCAACTGTTTCGCCCGTGAACCAAAAGTAAACCGAAAATGTGTCGCAACCTCGTTCAAAGTGCGAAAAAAGTTATGGACACTGTTCAACTGGACCTTGGCAGCTGATTCATCATTCTTGTCTTCTGCCATAATATTGTGCAGGTGGTCCTTCAGAGAAATGTGCTGTGCTGTCTGCTTCTTGGATTCGATTCCTTCCGTTTCCCTCTTTTGATACAGTAGATGGAATACAATAAAGCCTCCAAAGCCAAGAAAAAGCGCCACCCGAGAGTCCTCTGCCGATCAACTTTGGGGTAGCCTAGCTATTTGTTGTACTGGCCAGATTGTGAGATCATGATCAAAGGAAAATTGACGAAGAGGCATGTAGATGGTGTGGTCGTTCTCCGCTTTCCCAAAAGTCGGATTTTCAGCCCAGAGGCGTTCTCTACCTGCCTTACATGGTATGTAGGTACCTGGTAGCCATATGGCCACGCCATATGGCCACCTATTCGTACCAAAGATTTCATACCATACCGAACGTCGCAACTGCACATACAATGCTTTTCCTGGAGGCGTTCTCCTCCTCCTTGAGTGCGTTGACCAAATGAATAGAGGCCCTGCGTTGCGACGACGTCGCCGCACTGTCATGGGCCTCAAAACTCGAAGCTGCACCACATTTAGGCCAGTCGTGGATTCACAACCATGGTTGGCGGGAGCGTGGGATTATTACTCCACGTGTAGCCCTCATGCTCATTCCGAGTGACGAGTCCAGTCAAGTATGCTACGTCAGATAGTTGAAGTTTTTGATATCTTGTCCATCTTGTGACAACTCTCTGGTTGGTTGGCCCGTGATGCCTGCGAGTGCGTGGCTGTCTGCTCACTTCTCACTTCGTATACTGCTGGTAGTACCGTATTTCTTCCAATTCAGACATTCATTTTTCTTCTCGACTTTACCATCGTTGCAATTACCATGAAGTTCCTTGGCTCTGCTTCTGTCTTTGCCCTCTTGGCATCACCTGTGGTCCAGGCGTTTGCTCCACTGTCTCCTCTCGCTTCCTCCTCGCCTCTGACAGTGTCAACACCTCCCGTATCTCCTCAATTGGAAACGGTCCGTGCCAATGATGTGGCCCTGAATGGTCAAAAGAAGAAACCAAAAAAAAAGAACAAGAAAAAGAAAAGTGCAGCTGCTGATGACGTTGGAGGAGAAGAAGCACCGTATGTTGTCGTGGCTGCAGCAAAAGCACCAGCGGTAGCTGCTGCCCCTCAGAAAGATAGCGAGCTACTGGCTAGAAGTTTGTTGGCATACCGCTTGGAACTCGAGAACAAGGCCAGAACTGCCGGAGAGGCTTCCAGGAGCCAAGAAGAGGCCGCTGCCTTGGCTCTTCGATTGGAACAAGAGAGACTGGAACTGGTCGCCGCCAAACAAAAGCAAGAAACATTCCAGCGTGCTCTTTTGATGAACCGGCTGGACCGAGAAGAACGCGTTCGTGAAGAACGACGAGCCAAGGAAGCTGAAATTGCCGAGAGAAAGGGATCCATTGCCGATGCCCTCAATCAGCCAAAGCCTCAGGATGTCGAGGAGAAATTGCAAGACATGTATGCATCCATTTCGGACATTGGGGAGCGCGCTTTTGCCATTCTCACCAATCTAGGATTGGTAGAGGAAAGCCCCGACCCAGAAAGCCCCGACTATGACAGTACATTTGACGATGAGCTCGTTTACGATGTAGTATACGCCAACTAACAAAGACACGCCGCCATGCCATGGATGAGAAACGTGGTCGCTTTACCAGCGTGACGATTTTCTTGGTCAATGTGTGCGGACATTGCAGCAGTGATGGGCGGGATCCTTTGCTGCTACAAGCTGGCTAGCTATTATTTGTTGTAATCCTATGAACTAAAACCTAAATGTGAAACTTCGTTTCACTAGCGTGCCTTTTTTAATCGTCAAGCCTATTTTACATTTTACGAGCAAGCTTCGAGGTTGTCGGATGCCGTTCTCTCGCAGCCTCCATGTCAACGCAACCACTACTAGTTTCCTCGGAGGGAACGGGCTGTATCGGCGTTGAACACTTCGTCCTTCGTATAGAGCCTTGTTCCGGTCTGGATGCGGTTGGGCATGCAATAGTCGAGATCTTCATCAGTGTCCAGTCCCATCCATTGGATGGGGGCAGTGAGCATGGACTCCCAGCTGGAAGTAGGAATCAGCCTTCCTCTGCCAATGTTCAGTTCTGAATCACTGGTGATATCAGTTGGATACTCGCCCAATATCTGGCCACCCTTGACGCTGCCTCCAAACATGAGATAATTTCCTCCCCAGGCGTGGTCTGACCCGTCGCCCGAATTGGGTGTCAGTGTACGGCCAAAGTCAGATGTCACGGCAACGGTGATAGAATCCCAAAGACCTGCTTCCTTCATCTCTTTCTCAAACTCCTCCAATGCAGAATCCAGATTTCCCAGAAAGGACGACTGCGCTTCTTTTACGCCTCGATGATGGTCCCATCCGCCAAGCGACAGGAAGAACACATCACGATCGACACCACGATCGTTGCGTGTCATGATGAGAGAGGAAAGAGCCTCAACTTGCCTCATAAAATTGGGGCCCTCTGAATTCCCGGCGTACTCTTGCGTCAACTTGATATTGTCGTAGGCCGAAGTCATCTGATCTGCATCTAGAATCGCTTGATGGAGAGTACTAGACCAAGTTTCACCATAGACACTGCTGTGTAGGTTTGTGACATTGTTCAGTACTGCAACGTAGTCACTCATGTCGATAGTGTCCCGTTTTTGCGCAGGATCAAATTCCGTGGGCCCTCCAAAAGGAGCCACCAACGGTTTGACAGCGGCTCCGGGTACTCCAACAGTGGCTACAGTTGCATCTCTAACCTGTGATCAAGAAGAGAGGACACTGCTAAGTACTGGTGCCAAAGCCACTTCGTAAAATGATAGCTTTCATGGGTAGATATTCCAACTTACCGTGATAGGTTGAGGGGTGTAACCTTTGGCAGCAAGCTTGTCACTCATGCGACCCAAGATTCCAGTGTTTTGTTGAGCTTCCCATGGGTCAAGTCTCTGAGCTTGCTTCTGCATGGTATTGTGTGCAAAGAGATCTGTCTTTGTGACTGAGTTGTAGTCGTCCTTGGTGACTGGCGCATCAAGCTGGCCAACATTTGCAAAGAACACCAAGTCACCTTCGTTGTACAGCCGTTCTGCAAAGGGGAAATCGGGGTGCACAGCAAATTGGCTGCAAGGTTGGCCAGTGGCGTCAATGACACGAGATCGCTCCGCGTCGGTGAGTGCAATAGTCGAGCGTTCTGATTTGTATTGTTCAAGGAGAGTCTTCCCTGCTGCATTCGTGTCGGCACAGGTATGCGGGACTATCATATTAAATGAATCGTTTCCGCCAGCAAGTAGGACATATACAAGAGCCTTGTAGGGGCTTGTGGGGGCACTTCGAGCTGGTGGAGTTGGTCTTGTTTCACTTGTCTGCTGAACAGCGCCAGTGCCATGGAATTCCGGTGTTGTAGCTATCATCATTTGTGCCTTGATCAAAGGAAACTTGCTCTCTCCTGCGTAGAAGTCGGAAATGTAACTTTTGGTATTTGCATTGAGTCTTCCGGCAGTCAAAAGCGTAGAGAGCTCCCCAACTGCATCATCTGTGGATGGTTGGTATGCCAGGTAACCAACTCCCAGCTGTGTCCCAATCTTGGCGTCTCGACAGCTAGCCACAAAGTTTGGTCCAAATCCCTTGTTGCACCCCACAAGACCATACTTGAGAAACGCGTAGATGGCATTCAATGTGTCGATAATTCTGGGTCCTGTCAAGACTTGTGCCTCGGGTGCCACCAGAGACCCCAGAGCAACGGGGCCTGAGAGAAGCAGCCAACAGGTGAGACAAAACTGGAAACAAAAGACGGAGAAGGACAACGCATTGCCGTCAACGTACCTGCAGGCTGGTACTCTGGCAAGAAGAAGGAAAATACACTTGGCAGCTGATGAGCCATCTGGCCCAAAATTTCTCCCAATGATCCCGACATCTCAACCCAAGGGAAAGGGGCATTTAAAGTGAACTTGAGAGCACGCATGAGGCCAATGATCTTTATGACAGGTTCCTTCAGCGAGCCATGCGAAGGATCTTTGTCCAAGACAACACTGCGAGCCTCGGGGCTGAGTAGCACCGCAGCAAACGTGGCGCCCAAGTCTCCATAAGTTCCCGAGCCAAACGATAGTTGTTGACCATTGTCATCAAAACTGTAGACACCAGAAGTAAAAGCTCTGGCGATCTCTTCCACATACACTGGGGACGGGTTGGAGATTCCAAATCGTTGAGCGAAGCGGATAGCCAAGAACGGTGCCGTATTTCGATGATGCGCGTAGTGGTCCAGTGCAGCATCAGTCTCGTACTGTGCGTCACGCACTTCAGGATCGGAAAAGGACATAAAATGAACTGGATTGCGGAACGAAAGCCCCGTATCTCCGACTGTCACAGTCGACTTTGTGTTCTTTCGTAATTGCCGCACCCCGGAGTCATCAACAACTTCAAAGATAGTTTCGGCGGAGAGGTCTCCATACACGTTCACACCATCCTCGGTGGTCGCGGCGACACCAACAATTGGTTCGAAGGATCCTATTGTCAAGGACGAAAGCACGTCATTCCTCGTTGGGTTTTGACTGAAAGCCTGAGTATCAGCAGCTGTAACGTGGCAGAGACACATGTCATCGTCTGTAAGAGTGCAGGAGGGGAGGTTGCCGCAATCGGCCAGCACCGTGGCAAAGTCACCTTCCCAATCAACTCGGAAGTATGTCTCTGTGATTGGCTGAACAATAGATGCAACATCAGCTTCCGCCACACCATCGGGTTGATGAACGATTGCAATTTTGCCATTAGACCTGTCAATCTTTGCTTTCACTGCACAAGCCTGCGACGTCCAAAAATAGTTATTGTCATAGCATCGTGTGCCGACACTTGAGTCGGACACATCACAGCTTGGGCGGCTTTCACTTGTGCAGAGGAGCTGATTGCATCGTGTTTCAGCAGAAGCAAATAAGGCGCGTTCTCCAAAATACTGCAAAGAGATATGTGCAGAGTAAGTCAGCGTGACAACCAAGCACGTCAAATGGAATGGCTATTCTTGTACCTGGAACGCCATAACTTGATGAGACTTACTTGTTCATCCCAGACACTAGCCTCATTGTCACAGCAGGCAACAGTAGCCGCCTCCACATTTGGGTTGGCACACATTGCGTTAACATCACGGGTCCTCTGAGCGATGGTCTTGGCGTTGTTGAAGAAGCCCAGCTCCACACAGGGCGCCCGGAGATACTCATAGTACATGTCGCCCACCTTCACTGACCTGACGGTGTCAACTTCGCATTCAATGCCCGCGGTACATGCGATTGTTGTGTCTAATATAACCATGTTCTTGTAATCACAAGCACCGCTAGCATCTGGCGAGCAAAGCTTTTGGTACAGACCACTGGTTGCATCCAAAGACACCAGCACAGTGGTGCTTTCGGTGTTCCATTCGGGAGGGTCGCTATGATACGGCAGCAAATTTGTGAGCCAAAAGACGTTTCTCTAAATGCAATGACTGCAAGCACGCATTGTACTTACGAGACGAGCTCAGGGGAAGGCTGACCACCAAGGAGCCTGTAGGTCGCTCCTTTCGAAAGGAAATGGTCTGTTGGTAAATCAGAGCACAAGGGATAGCCATCGCCCACATATGTCCTGTCCAAACCCATTTTCGGCAAGCGATCACGCCACTCGGCAACGATCTGCATGGGATCAACGGTGTTCTTGCGCTGAACTTCGGCATTTCCGCGCTTGTGTTGTGACATGAATCCCGTCCACGCCCTCGCGTACTCTTCAATGTCATCGTTGGAATACACCTTTTCTTGGTCACCAGTTGAATCAAATATTTCAGTACCATCCATGTTAAGCTGGAAAAGCCCTGTGGTGAACAGCTGCATGATTTCGCGAGCATAGTTTTCGTCTGCAAATTCTAGAGTTTGTTCGTCTTCGTAGACTTCGGCTGTCGATCGGCCTCCGTAGAAAGTGAGCATGTCAGCCATGATCGGAGAATACGAGACTTCCTTCAAGACGTCAATGTAGTTTCCAAACGCGTTGCGCACCTGACAGAGGGCGAAGATTGAACGTGTTTAGAAAAGCCGGAAGTTGGCATGCCACATGCGAGTGGAATATCACTTACAAAGATGTCATAGTAGTTCAAGAATGGCTCCACCAATGCCTGCCCGTCTGGAACATCAGGTGGATGAACTGAGAGAATCTGTGATAAGGCCCATGCGGCACGCTGTCGAAGCTGGCCTTCGTCATTTAGCACTGTGTTCAGCCAAATCATCTCACGTTCCGCTCGCAGCGGGCCCCATTGCGTCGTCATGAACTCCGATGTCGAGGGATCGTAGGCGCCTCTGTACGTGCTGCCTCCCAATGACGGCTGATTTCCAACTTCGAAAGGACTTCCACAGACCAATGTAGCACCGTTGCTGCCCTCCGTGGTTTCAGCAGCTTCTGCGGCAACGGCGTCAGCTGAGAGGGTCAATCCAAGCGCCGAAGCAACCTCCTCTGTCTGCAAATACTGTGGAAGTTTGTAGTAATCGAATTCCTGTCCCAATTTCCAGGCTCGTCCTAGAGACTTCTTGCCTGTCTGCCACTGCTGGACCATACTGTGCCCAGCCGGAAATGTCAACGTGGTTCCTCCGTCCAGTGCAAACTGCTTGATGGGGTTAAAGGTGTCTGTGTTTCCTGGATGACCCCCAACCTTAGCCCAATTTTCAAAGTTGTAAACATTCAGATAGTCTGTGTGGACATTTCTCCAACAAGCGTCTGAGGCTGCGTCATACACTTCAAACCCCTTCAGGTCCACATCGGCCTCGTCGCATCTGGTCGTTGCTCCTTTGGGATGGTAAGCATCTATCACGTATGGATTGGCACCTTCCTTGACAGCCTCCTTGATGATCCTGGATACCATGTAGTCATTGGTGGTTGCCGACACATCTGCCTCAGTACGAGCTGCGCAGTCAATGACGAGCCAGCGAGATTTTGTCGCTTTTCCAGAACCTGGTGTACAAGGTGCTGGAACGGTGTCGTCCCTTTTGATATCAACCCCTTCCACAACGTAGTAGTACGCTGTCCTGGATGCGTCTTTCGATACCTCGTAAAGTTTTCTCATGTTCTCGCGACTGACGACAAAGTTAGGATTGACCTCAGACGATGTTTGCCGACTCACTGTCTCGAATTGTCGGTAAGTGCAGACGTTGGGGTCGGTAGACAAAGTGCACCCCTCTTCGTTGAGAAAGGTCCTGGGCACGTTGGAGCATTTGACACTGAACATTTCATCAGGGACAGCAAACTCATTCACCAGAGAACCTCCTCCATCTGCGATTGGGTTGGCAACATCATTTCCAAGAATCAAATAGCGCGGGTCATGAATGTACTGGCGATTGTCTGATGTGAGATACAACGAACGAGTGAGTCCACCACTACCGCAATAAAAGTTTCCACCCATGTCAGGTCGTAGCTAGGCATTGCTTCACCCTCCGCTCTAACATACTTACTCCATGATGCGAAAAAGGGAACGCCCAAGGCAGGTGCTTCGGCGGTACTGCACAAAGCATCAGTCACATCTGCCGTAACCAAGATTTCCTGGTCTACAAGCGACGCCAATTGGTCTCCTTCTGTGGCTGTACGTGGTGTGAAATACTGTGTGTCAATGGGGGTGGCGGCTTCGGCTGGCAATGTCATGACACCAAAAGTATCTGGCAACAGGGCCGGATCAAATGCTCCCGTGAGTTCGGTGGCATCGTAGTACACGGGTGGATTGGATTCATAGGCACCTGCAGTCTCGGTCGAGGCCACCAGGAAGGGCACGGACTTTTTGTTTTTGGGGTGTGCCACCATTACGTAGTCATACGGCCCCTCATAGGTAACCTCGTTAAGAGTGTAAGTGCCATCGGGCCAATCCAACTGCTCGACGTTCACAGCCAGTCGGCTCTTGATGCGGGTGCCTGTATAGAAGGGTCCCGAAACAGTGGTTCGGTACTGTCCGTCCACCAGCAAAACTTTGCGGTTGGCATCGCTCGGGAGACTCTTGATTTCCAAAGTCTTCTTTTTGTCCTTGACAGAAAAGGCTGTGCGACGATGCCGAGTTCCAGCATCACAAGGTTGTGTGATGGGTCCGTTGGGCGAAGGCACTTCAAAGCGAGCATTCATTCTGGTGCGAAAGACTTCTCTGTGCGATGCCACGGGCACATTGGTTTGCTGATTTTGAACCCACTTGGCAAACTGAGAATCTAGGCTCGTTGCTTGTGATGTGGCAGCAGTCTCAATTTCCGTGATGGCCTCCCACGTAGGACCAAAGGTAGCCTGTTCCAAGAAACGAGCAATGATATCCTTGTCACTGTAGGATGGGGGGTCAAAGGTAGTCAATTGAAAGGTAGCTCCAGCACCTCCAACCAGTTCGGCAATGTCTGTAAAAACCAGCTGGCACAAGGAAGCATCGGTGGTACAATCTGGGGTCAGGACCGACGAATACTTGCCAGCAGCAACATTCCAATCTTGTCCATTATAAGATCTTGCAATGGGAGTTAGAAACTGTTCTGTCCCCGAGGTTCCCACGACAACCAAGGTACACAACTTGTCTGCTGCCGACCTGAACAATTCCAATCCATCAATTCCAACTTCCAACATGAATTCGGTCGTCCCAACTGACTCTGGACAGGCTTGCATTTCCAACTTGGACACACGGGAGCCTGTTGCAGGGCCACCCAAAAAGTCACTCCCATTGACCGAGACGCCAATCAAGTCTCCATCAGGTGGCTGTTGTTGCTGCTGTTGCTGTGGCTCTTCATTCTTATTCTTGGTCAGTACCAAAGGAACTGTGATGGCGACAGCTACGATGGTAGCAAATAATAGACCTCCAGCAATCGCTAAGGTCTTCTTGTCTGCTCCCATGTTGCTTCTTTCTTTTTGCAAAAGTTCAAGGAAGAAAACGGTATGTCTGGATGAAAGAAAAATGAAACATAAAGAGTGTTGAGACAAGGAGGGAACCAGCTCTGCTACTACCGGTAGCACAAAATTGAACTTACAACGGTATCAATGGTATCAATCTGTGCTTGTGGATCGACTTTTAGTTGAAGGAATCCCCAAGTTGTGAAGCTGAAAAAGGAGGTTGTGAATGTTCCGACGATCGAAAAAGGCCATCATCTTCCAAGGGTCGGCAGTCGGCAGCAGTGCCATGTTTGGCGACAACGTGTCGAGGTCATCGGTTTAGGCTTCTACAGCGAGAAGAAACTGCGTCGGTACCCAATGAATTCTCCAACGGAAACACCCAGCTTGATCGACAGACACAAGGGAAAGTACGCTATAAGACACTTAGGCATTTGTCTAAGCTTCTAACGGAAAGGATTTAACCATGGAATGATTGGGTGTTGACTCTAATGCTGAACAGCCCTGTTCTCTTTTTCAATGGTTCCCATTGTAAAAACTTATAAAATATCTTGCCGAATGATGAAGGATGTGAAATAATGAGGACCCATGGCACCCCCCCAACTTCCAACCTCAAGGCGTATCCTCCCCTTTGAGCCAGGTAATGGTGGTTGGTGTTTACTAGTCGTTTGTGTAGATTAGTATTAGAAAGGCGGGGGGTACCCCATATATTTAGCCATGACCAGTTTTTGAGCCATACCATTCATGACCCTCATAGCCTGCATGGCTCTCATAGCCTGCATGTTGTTGTATTCTATGTTTCTATGCTATAAGGAGTCAATCTTCTATGGGATGAATGGGCACCCTACTAGAGTGCTTCGCACTGGCCAGTCACATAGCAAAAGCTAGTAAAACATAGTATTTCTAGGGTTGGGGTCTTTCGAAAAAACAGGAGGTGGGGGTACCCCCTCAGCCATGTCCTGGTGGTTGGTGTACCGTAGACCTGGACCGTCCGACGGTTTTCGCTCAGTTGTTAAAAAACTTAAAATATCACAGTGTAAACATTCCCTTAAACATTCCCTTAAAACATTCCCTTAAATCCTCAACATTCCCTTAACATTCCCTTAAATCAACATTCCCTTAACAACATTCCCTTAAAGCTTCGAAACATTCCTCTAAGCCTTCATGTAAACCCCATAGAACATTCCCTTAAAAAAAGAACATTCCCTTAAATAAACATTCCCTTAAAACATTCCCCTAAATCCTCAACATTCCCTTAACATTCCCTTAAAGCTTCAACATTCCCTTAACATTCCCTTAACGAGAACCACGATTTGAGCAGTTTTTAAACCTGAGCAAAAACCATCGGACGGTCCTGGAGGCAGGGGGGGCAGGCAGTTCTACTACTAGAACTAGCTAGGGGGCGCCACGGTCCTAAATAATGTGAATCTCTCTCTTTCTTTGTATGTACTGTACTCCTACTGCCCAATTCCACCACGCGTACCAACCAGCAACCAGGGGCAATGCACCTTTTATAGTAAAGAGTTGTGTATGTGTCCGTTACGTTGTACATAGTACTCCATACAAAGTGTAGTGCGCAATTATTTCACGTCTCTTGTGGACACTGAAGATGAATGGATTTAAGACAAGTTTTCTGATCCCACTCCACTCTAATGCTGAAAAGCCTAGTAGGTCTCTTTCTCAATGGTCAGTGTGGTACTGTATTGGTACCGGGTACTTGGAAAACATTTATAACGAGCTGTGTGGAAGCTGTTTGGAGTACTCGAGTACGCGAGTATGTACAGTAAAATCTGGGAATCGTGCTGCGTAAATGCTTTGCACAGCATGGTTCCCACCAACCACAACCGTCACGACCATACGAGTACATGTAACCTCACAAAAAAGCCAGCCATAGGTTTTGCATGCAGCGTTATCGCGGGCATCATGGGATCAGTGTTAGCAAATGCTGCGGCCTCCATCCTGACAACTGGCAAGGCAGCTTGGGGAAGTGTCACCTTGATCGGAGAAGGAATGCTAACCATCTAGGCGAGATCAATCGATGTGGGTGTCAACATACAGTAGATGTGAAGACCCAAATATTTGACTGTACACGGGCAGGTATCGGTATCAACCAAGGTGGTCCAGAGTACCGGAGCTATGGAGTTATGGCTGCCTGGCAGAGATGGAACCATCGTGCTAGCTCGGTGTGCAAATAGAGAAACAACTTGGATGGAAGTGCACAACAACCGGACTCCATACATCCTTTGAGAGAAAGGATCTTCCGCTATGCACGAAACACAGCCAAGCGAATGAAGAAAGGCGTCAACAACACTATTAATACATACCAGACAAAATCTTAGTTTAGAAAACGAGAAAGTGGGATCAAGGATGCAAAAGCAAGCATCATAATAGACACACATCCAGCCGTCTACAAGATGATGCATAGTTCCAAAAAACAGAGATTGCAGGGACTGCCATCAAGCTCCTTGAGTTTGCCTATCAATCTTCTTTTTGGTGGTGCATGAGAGGCTCATAACCAATTTAAATGAACTCGACTGGGACCCCACACTAACTCCCGCGGTTTTACTGCCCGAACACATATCCGCGATCTCGGGATGTGTCGACCTGCTGTGTGCACAATGTTTGTCAACTGGAGCCCCTTGCCAACTTTCAAGAAATCATGCATTCAGTTCTCTATTATCTTCAGAATGTACCGGTACACGTACCAGCAGTTTTAATGAAGCTGAATAGTCATAAAATGATGTTATTTGATCGTTTCTAGAAGATGGGAAGGTCGGAGGAGTGTCGTACTGAGAAAAGGGTTTCCTTTGTTGGGTCTTGAAACTTTCAACAGACAAGGACTTTCTTCTTTCAAGTCACCAAAACCAGAAAGCCACTTGTACAGCCGTCGAGAGCAACCCCGGAACAGATGCGTAGGTTGCCCACTTAGATTTCGTTTGGGCTTTGTGCGCCTCGTCTTTCACGGTTGCCACCTCATCCTTCAACATCGCCTTTTCTCTTGCCGATTTTGATTCCATTGCGGTTTGCTCCTGTTCTATCTCCCAGGCCATAAATATCTGTTCCTCTGAAATCTCACTGAGCTCCTGTGCCAGGACAGTCTGTTTGCGTGTCATTTTGTTTTGCTCCTGAGCCATGGCCCTCTGTGCTTGCTCCATCACTCTCTGTTCCTGTTCAATGGCTCTTTGTTTTCGTGTGATTTCAGTTTGCACCTTCTCCACTGCCACAATCCTCGCTTGGTCATTGACCCGCTGCCGAATTTCCTTTACTATCTCTTTTTGCACCTCCTCTATCCCCGAAATCCTCACCTGGTCACTGGCATACTCCCGCAGCTCCTGCCTCATCTCGTTTTGCTCTCTCTCCATCGCAGCGATTCTCTTCTGATCATTGGCCCGCTGCTTTAGCCCTTCTCGCACAAGGCACCCAACCACCACCGCCGCTCCAAGGGCGACAAAGAGGCAAATGTATCCCGTGGGTATAGGCGCGCTGCCACCGTATACTGCCTCCTTGCTCGTGGCTTGCTTCTTTTCATTGCCAAGAATAACATCGTTCTTCTCTTCATCCTTTCCATCTTTCTGCACTGCAGTCTTCTCTTCAGTACCCTGGGCAGAGGCAGCCATCGCCGTGGCAATTTGCATAGAAAAGAGGGAGTCCTCTAAGGCTTCAACTTTGGTTTTAAGGAAGGCTAGAGTTTCACCAGCTGCTTCTTCTTGCAGCTCGACAGCAGCTTCCACCAGCATACTCTCAGCGACAGCCTCAATGATCTGTTCCTGGAACTGAATACAAAAATCGATTAGTGCCTCACAGCGTTTTCTGAATACACCGGAAGCCATCGGCTGTTCTCACCTCCATTCGATCTTCAACAGATGCATCGTCAATAAACTTCATATTGCGGATGTCTTGAGTTTGATAACATGTAGCTAGCTAGCTATGGCATTTGCAATGATGATTTTTCCCTGCTACGAGTGCCTGGTACTGACGGTATCTTTGCTGCAATCTTCTCTCAAAAGTCCGACTTTCAAGTTCGTTGTGATGCCCCGGATCCTTGATCTTTCCCGAGTGCCAAGACTTTGCTCGTCCAACTCTGCTAGCTCAACCCAACTCACTTCACTTCTCACAACCTCACCTTTCAAGTGCCTTCCGGCTCTGCTGCCGGTCCCATCACCGATTGTGACAGCGCCCTGCAACAACCTCTCATTTCTCATGATGAGCACTCTACTGCTTGGCTACTACCGGTAGCTACCGGGTAGTTGTTTCGGATAAAAAGAGGTGGGAGCTGAAGATAAAACGAACGAAAGACTGCTCCACTCGACTCTGCCGAGATGTGGATACCCCATGACAGCATGACTTGTTTCCTCAGTGAAATAGTATGCTCCTGTACGGTACTTCCGTCTAAAAATGATATTGGTGAGTGAATACTTTCAGGAAGCCACGATAAACCGCGTACAAGGGATTTTGGAAAGAGTGTGTTGTGAGCGCCGCCTTTATTGTGCCGTTGCTGCCATGACCCAACACAGCTCTCTTTAAAATTGATCATGCAAATCCCAAGAAAAAACCTGGTCCGGTCCTTTCACACTCACAAATCTCCTCAGCACCAACGGGAGGTTTGCCATGGTCATGGTTCTCATTTTCTCACCCTTCATTTTGCTTGTTGAATCGAATGATTCTGAAAAAAAATTCAGGATTATTATGCTCCATGTTTGGATGTGCCACAACACATGGTACTGGTCCAATGGATAGGATCACCGAAGCCGAATGATGATTGTGATAGTGTTCTCTGCGGTACACACTCTTTCTAGCTAGTTCTGGATTGGGGCAAGATTTTGTTGGACCCTTGACTCCTTGTTCGTATATGAGCTACCATCAGTGAGTTGCTTGACTCTGTCTGGATGGTGGTTGTCCAAAGGGTTTTCGATGGACTTATTGGATTCTCAAGTTGTCGGATGTTTGATTTTCGGAATCCATCTGAATCTTTGGAGGGCAACCTATAACACATTAGTCTTTTCGGAAGAACCTTCTCACAGTTTACTGATTGCTGATATTGAATTCCACCAAGGCACATCCTGTTGGCTTCGTAGATCCAGCTCGAACGTTCTCGCCGAAGGAGGTTGGTGTGCTAGATGCCAATAGGTCTCTGCAACTGCCTTGGGAGCAATCAAGAGACGACTGGACTGGAGGGAGGCAAATTTCTGTGGACCTAGCATTTTCCCCAATGTATCGGGTGCAAGGACGGGTCCATCCACCACAATGTGAACCACATGAATTCCTTGATGAGCGTATTCGGCATGCAGTGATTGACACAAAAGACGTCTCCCTCCCATGGCGGCAGCATGCGAGTGTTGTCCCGGATTGCCTCGAATGGCCGCCGTGGCACTGGTCACCAACAAGGTTCCATTGTGGCGTTGTACCATGCGAGGCAAAAGACACTTGGACAATCGAAACAAGCCAAAGGTCCCCAATCGCCATCCCAATTCGAAAGTTTTGTGCGAGGTTTCCACAAGACTCTTGTGTCCAATTTGAGCTCCCAAATTGTACACGGCTACTTGAATGGGACCAATGGTACTTTCGATTTCCGCAATCATGTCTTCCACAGTGTCGGGCTTGGAGGCATCCAGCAAAAATCCCGAGGCGCATGCGCCAGATGCACGAATCTTCGTGACGGCATC